GTCGCGGGTGTGTGTGATAGGGTCGCTCCTCGACCCTCGTGTCCCAGAGTAGCGCCCAGTCCGATAAAAAGAATTGGGAAGTACCTGAGAACGAGACCGCCCGGTGCCGTGGCCACTGCGCACTGGGGTGTGTCTTCAACTTCATTGCACATTGGAGTTCTTCTTCGAAAAATTCTCCACGTAAAATTCTTTTTGGTCAGAACCAGACGATGCCGCGCACCTACGTGCGTCACACACACACACACACACACACACACACACACACACACACACACACACACACACACACACACACACACACACACACACACACACACACACACACACACACACACACACACACACACACACACACACACACACACACACACACACACACACACACGCAAAAATGAAAATTCTTTCTCCAAATGCGCGCCAGTCCCGTGCCCAGTTTGTGGCGCAAAATTCTTTCTCCAGCCCAAAGAAAGAAAACAGACAACCCAAGAGAGGGATGGGAGGACGGCACGCCGCCCAGTGTTGTGCATGGTTTTGAATTTTTTTCTCCAGCCAAGGTGTTGGCTGTCGGCGTGCCGTGCCGCCTCAACAACTCTCCTCACTCTCGCCGACGCCCCTGTGCACCACCGGGTTGTCGCTCATGCCCAGCCCCTTCGCCGTCGACGGCTATGTCGACTTCCCGGCCAACTCCGGCCCGGACGCGATGCGCTCGCCCGCGTGCAATTACTACACCTGGGACACGCTGATGCACGGCGACCTGTGGGCGGAGCTGATGCCGCGACCAGGCCGCGACTGCGACTTCGGGCACGCCCGGCCCGAGTACCGGGAGACGATAGCAATCTTCGACGGGTGGTACTGGACGCGCTGGACCGCCAACCACTGGGAGATCCCCATCGCCGCTGCCACGCTCTACCTGCTGATGATCGCGACGCTCAAGCTGACGATGGGGCCGCGCAACGGCGGCCGCAAGGCGCTCAAGCTGACGCGGGTGGTGCTCGCATGGAACTTCTTCCTCTCCGCCTTCTCCATCGCTGGCATGTGCTACACGGTCCCCCTGCTCCTCTTTGGTGAGAGCGGCGTGCTGACCGCCGGCTGGTACGCGTCGGTCTGCAACTCGGCGGCGTCGTACGGGCATGGGTACCCGGGGATGTTTGTGTGCCTGTTCATCTACTCGAAGCTGGCCGAGCTGCTCGACACCTTCTTCCTGCTGGTGCGCAAGTCCCCGGTCATCTTTTTGCACTGGTACCACCACCTCACCGTGCTGCTCTTCTGCTGGCACGCTTACTCGGCGCGGATCGGCACCGGCCTCTGGGTTGGCGAGATGGCCCGAGATGAGCCGAGATCAGCCGAGAGTAGGCGCGGATCGGCACCGGCCTCTGGTTTGCGGCGATGAACTACTCGGTGCACGGCATCATGTACGCGTACTTTGGGCTGACGCAGGTCTGCTCACCCGCATACGCACCGGGCCTTGCACTTTGAGTGTGCCGTGCCAGCTCCTGCCCGTGTCCCGGTGTGGAGATGCGAGGGACAGCCTGGCCCTTGCCTCCACCACGTTGTGTGTGTGGAGACGCTTACCTGACCTGACCTGACCTGACCTCACCTAACCGTATCTGACGCAGGCGGGCGACGGCCCAAAGAACTTCGCCAAGCGCTTCTCGATGCTCATCACGACCCTCCAGCTCACCCAGATGGTCTTTGGGATCGCGGTGACCGTCTCGTCGGTCGTCTACCTCTCGCGCGGGCTGCCGTGCTACGTCTCGCTCTTCAACTCGCTGCTCGGGCTGGGCATGTACGCCTCGTACTTCGTCCTCTTCCTCCAGCTCTTCCTCTCGCACTACGTCTACAACACCAAGGGCGCGCCCCCGGCCGCCAAGGCCAAGCACGAGCCCCTCCTCGAGCCGCACTGCCCGCCCGCACTCTCCGCCGCGGCCGACGGGGCCGCGAAGGCGCGCCCGGTGGCCGGCAAGCGGCAGAGCAAGGAGCAGTGAGGCCTTGTATGAGCCGTGTCGCGCTCTCGCGCATCGATGGACAGCGAAGGTGCGGCTGGAGGCGGGGAGGGGGGTGGTGCGCTCGGAGCCCCCCGCCGGCGTTGGGGGCTTGCGAGACGCCGCGGGCAGGGCCGCATTCCGTGAGTCTCGCATGTGTGTTTGGCTGGGGCGCACGTCTCCAAACACAAGCGAAAAGGGGGGGCGACCCTCGCACATCACCACAACCGGGCACAGGCAGGAGTGGCATTTCTTTTTTCAAAGTGCAAGGTGTGAATGACAGCTTTATGATAGGGTTACTACGACGAACTATGCGGCAATCGACTGGCCTGGGGCGCAAGGCCCGGATCAAGCGGATCGCCCCCACACGGCCCACACGCAGAGACCTCGTAGTAAAGCCGTAACCCCTCAGCGCAACCGACTTGGATGGGCCGTGTCCACGCCTTGCCCCCTTGGTCGTCGAGGCACCATGAAGCCGACCTACCCCTCCGTGCCGCCAATCGACGGCAACGTACCCGTATTGCTCTCTTGGGACATGAAGGCTCTGACGTCTGAGGCATGAGGCGAAAGTGCCCGGGCGCGCGCGAGTCGGCCACTTCGGGCAAGGATCGCCAAGAAGAATTTTACGTGCCATGCAACCCGCGTGCCACTTTTGTTCGGGGCGAGAATTACGTCCTCTTGGCAGCAAAGAGGATTTTTGTTGTGCCGACTTCGCGTGTGCTCCGCTTCTGAGAGAGAGATTTTGAGAGAAGAGAGAGAGAGAGAGAGAGAGAGAGAGAGAGAGAGAGAGAGAGAGAGAGAGAGAGAGAGAGAGAGAGAGAGAGAGAGAGAGAGAGAGAGAGACCTCTGTGCTTCTCTCTCTCCATCCTTCCTTGCTTGCGTCCCCCCATGCCGCCTGTCGTGTCCAGTCTCTGGCCCATCTTCTAACTCCCATATATGGTAAAATTCTATCTCCCCAGTGTTGTGCGAGGGAGCTTTGTTGTAAAATTCTATCTCCCAAGAAAAGAAAGTCCCGATGCTCGATTTCCTCGCGGCGTCTCACAAAACCTGCCCCGAGAGGATGCCTTGCGGCGGCTGCGGCCGCATCCTGGCGCTGCGCGCGACCGGCCCCTCTCGGTGTGCTCTGCGGAGCGGCCTCGCTCGAACGCGCGCCTGCCGGGTCGGGGCGGTCACGGGACCGGCTGAAATTGCGGCCGCAGCTGCTTGGGGGGGTGAGGATGGCCGGGCTTGAACGGCTTCTCGCGAGGTACCCGCATCCCGACGCAGCAGCGATTTGGCATTCTATATCTTTCGCGGCCTTCGCCGAGCGCAGGCGAGGCATAGGGAACCCGCATTAAATTTCTTTTAAGCACCTAGATTTCTTTTTTTCGCGCACCCGCCCGCGCCGAGCCAAAGGAGCTCCGCGGAGCCGCCAGGCGCCCACCCCGGCGATTCGCTCGCTACGCGTCGCTCACCGCCGGGGCGGGCGCCTGGCGGCGCCGCTGCGCAAAAAGAGAAAATCCCGAAGCACGGACCCGAGGGCAGCGATATTTAGA